TGGAAAGGAAAGACCAAGTGAAGCTCTCAGAATCAGAACCCACCAGATCACAGCTCTTAGTTGTCCAGCTCTGGTTTGTGTGCAGAAGCAGATGTCTCCTAAAGGTCTCTTTCTACCCTGTGATTCTTCTGAAGGGTTGTTGTTTTTTGTTTTTGTTTTTGTTTGTACTGGGGTTTGAACTCAAGGTCTCACACTTGTTAGGCAGTTATTCTATTGCTTGAGCTACTCTGCCAGCCCTTTTTTGTGTTGAGCATTTTCATGGTAGGATCTAGTAACCGAGAATGGCTTTGAACTAGAACTGTGATCCTCCTGATCTCTGCCTCCTAGGCAGAAATGTGAGTCGTTGACACCCAGTCTTCTTCTACAGTCTTACTGATCTAGTAGACATTGGTCATTTTGCCTGCCAGTGTCCATTCCCTTTTTCTATTAGGTTCCCTGATAACCCCATACACACACACACCTTTTTTTGGCATTACTGGAGTTTCAACACAGGACTTCCTGCTTGCAGGTACTTGAGCCATATCTCCTAATAGGAAATCAGGAAATCAGCTCTCCTCATTTCATGTCCTCCTCTAGGGAAGATGAATTTTGGTGAGCCCTGACCCTCTACCAGGACAGGTGAAAAAGCCTGCACCCTTCTGTGCCTGTCTGGACCAGTGGAACCTAAACTGGGCCAATCAGATGCTCTATGTAAGGCCTTGATTCTTGACCAAGTGACCCAAGGATGGAAAAGCTGGGGAGAGTCACTTATTTTGACCATAGTATGATCTCCAGAGAGCTTCTACCAACCCCTTGCTGTGGTTTTTGCTGCCCAAAAACCACACTTCTGGCTCCTGACTTTTTTTTAAGCCTGGTCCTCTAGCCCTCAGTTAGGTCTCTGAGCTGCTGATAACCTTCCAGTGAATTCTATTCTGTGTCAGTCAGCCAGCATTGACTTGACTACATGTAACCAAGAGCCTACAGTAATAGTGCTAGCTGGCTGCTCCTCTAGTTAAACTGCCTGATTTCTTTTACTCTATTTCTCTTCTGAGGCAGCAATCCTTGTGGCTATTCCACAAGCCTCCTCCTTTAATGGTCATCCCAAACTATTGGTGTTTGTCCTTGTCATTTGCAGCATCTATCTTCTTGCAATGGTTTTAGATGAGGTTGTTCCTTCCTTCTCTTTACTGAATTCCTCACGTTTAGCAGCTTGACCTTATGCTGTGATCATTGTAGACTGGTCACATTTACCCATTTCACCTAAAGCTGGGCCAATCAGAATTCTCTTTCTTGAGAGTTTTGAAGTTTTACCTAGGGAATGTGAAAGTTGCAAGTTGCCAAGAGCTAAGCATCAAAAGTGTTTGATGCTAAGAAGAAAGCTGCAATTTTCTGATGCTGGGGTTTGGGATTTTGCCCTGAGTTCCAACACTTCCTTATCTTCAGGAGTATTCTAATAAATTTACCTTTCATAAGTTTTCTAATATTGGCTTATGTTATCTGTAACCAAAAAAACATTAATTAACAGTCTCCATGTGATAGAAGACTCAGAAAGACAGAGCTGGAATTTAATTCATTCATCCATTTACTCATTCATCAAATATTTATTGAGTACTTGCTATGTGCCAGGCACATCCTAGTGATAGGTAGCAGCTAGACATGAATGGTGATATGCAAAGGGAACTCCAAAATGGAGAGACCTTGGTTCAGTGCCTATGTGCTAGGGGCCCCACTCTCTCTCTCTCATGGTCTGCTTGCTTACACGCTGCAAGTTAAACTTTTTTAGACACAGACTTTTGGCTCCACATGCTTGTGAAACACCTGCAAAACATAAAAGAAACCCCTATATGACCAGTAGGGAGGAGACTAACAAGGAGAAGGCCAGATGCCTCTTCAAGTTTAACTTTGCTCTAGAATATATACTCACCATTATGTCCCCCTGCACCTGGTTCAAAGTGAAACAGGTTCTAGTCTAATCTGCTGATGGTGAGCTACTTTGACTAAGAGTTGCCTTTTGCCCATTATCATGCCATTATAATCTCACTGTACTTTAAAATTTTCTTCCCACCTTTGTGGGTTTTTCTTAGGTGGTCATGGGTAATCACAAGCACAGAAGGATTCTTGAGGTGTGATTAATTCTTTCACAACTTTCATGTCAATCCCACCAAGCCCCTTAAACTTCAATAAAAACCTATGCCCAGTGTAAAAGTGGTTATCATTCTCAACCTCTCTTTCTGAGACAACCCACTTTCATCTCCAATAGTGCCTTTCTATTCTTCATAAACTTCGCTTTTACTTTCACTCTGCTTCACATCTTGCCAGAAATCTTGTCCCACCAATGCAAGAACCAAGATAGCTGCACTGACCTTCTAGTAACTAGGTGCTGGGAACCCAAAGATACATTCATTGAACAAATGACTAGTTTATTCAGTTAATAATTGTCAACACGCAGTAAGTATTATGTAACAGATCTGGAATACTAACTGCTTCTTTTCTTTTCTTCTTGAACTCAGGGCCTCATGCTTGCTAGGCAGGCACTCTACCATTTTGAGCCACTCTGCCAGTCCTTTTTAGTGATGGGTTTTTTTTGAGATAGTGTCTCCCGAACTAGGGTCTGGCTTGGAATTGTGATCCTCCTGATCTCTGCCCCCTGAGTAGCTAGGATTATCGGTATGAGCTACCAGTGGCCACCCTTAAATGCCTCTTTAATTCTCATAACAACTCCATGAGATACATATGTCCCATTTTACAGATAAAGGAATAGAGCCAGAGAAGTTAGACTGCTTTGCCTAAGTCTCAAGGTTTGTAAGTGCTGGAGCTGGGTATCTTGGTATATTTGACAACAAAAGTCTTACTTCTAAGCACTGCATAACTTCCCCTCAAAATGAAGAATTTCAAAGCGATGAGACAGGTTTACACAGGTGGAGTATGAAGTTCACAGAGGAGAAAGCGACTAATTTTGTAGGAAGGTTGAAGTTCAAGAAAGACTTCATACTTAAGTGACTTGTGCAATCTTGAAGGAGGAGAATTGTGTTTCTTGTGCCTACCATAGAACTTTGCATATGAACTCTGGTGAATGATGACGATGAAGCAATCTATGCATCTGGCTGAGGTTGTTTGCATGGGACCTGGGGTGTTTCCCAATAAGGCATCCTTTTTGTAATTTAGCAATAGCATATGGGGTAATCTGATCCTTTGTATATCATGGATGCTCTCAAAGGTAGTGCAGGTATTAACTTCATAAGGTGAGTGAGGAAACCAGGGCTGAGTGTTCATGACTTGTTCAAGGCCACAAGTGGTGAGTCAGTGGCAGAACAAGATAAAGAGCATTACGGTGTCCTGTCCTCGGTGGGGAGGCAGGCATCTTTACTCCTCCCAGACTTCAGTTCAGGCCTTTCCAGCCTCTGCACTTGAGCTTCTGCAGGTTGCTTGCTTCAGAGCAATCTCCCCTTTCTTCTCAGCTCAAACTCTCCAAGTTTTGCTCATTCTTCAAAAACCAGCTCATCCCATGTCTTCCTCCCAAGCCTTTTCCAGATTCATTCAGCCCACCATCAAACTTCCATTGAATCCGTAAGTCCTGCTTTCAACCATATTCCTGCCCTGAAAACTTCACCTACGGAAATTTGGCCACTGTTATCCAGTGGCATCAGAACTCCTGTTGCCAGATCGCTCCAATGGTGGACCTGTCCTTTATTGTTTTCTTTATATTCATGTCTTGTCTCTCACTTACATGAGTAAGCTCCATGAGGCATAAACTTCTACTTAGCTTCATCTGTAGACTTATGTTCACTTTGGGATAATGATGTTTGTTGACTTAAGGAGGATAGGTGCCCACCTACTGTTAGACTGCTCAGCTCCTAAATCAAGGTATGGAAACTTGTCCACAGGCTTCCAATGCTCCAGGGGAGTATGAGGGAAAAGTATCAACTGCCACAGGGTATTGAGCAATTAATAATTAATAATAACCAACACGTAATGAATGCTAACTAATTGCTGGGTTCCGTACGAAATACATTACAGGTATTAACCCATTAGATCCTCATGACAACTGTTATTATCCCCACTGAACAGGGAAAGACACACAGAGGTCACTCCACCAGTGAGGCAGTCAGGGTTCAAACCCAGACGGGTAACTCTTAATTATGGCTCTAGATTCTTTATGGGAAACCAAGTCTCTTGCTATAATGTAGTTCAATTTTCTTTCTTTCTAACCACTCTAGGAAGACTAAAAGAGTGAGAAAATAATATTTATTATGCACCTAGTCTGGGCCCGGTATTTTGATAGGTGCACAATACTTTAGTAATAATGTGATTCTTGCAATAAGTCAATGAAGCAGGAATTATTAATTCCATTTCAAAGAATTTGGCTGTAGTTAAATCCTCAAGTTTTAGCCTCCAGTTATGGATAGAGTTAAAACTAGATCAGGCTGCCTGACTTTCAAGTAAAGTATTTAAAGGAAATTAATTGTACTGCAAACCCTGACAGGGACAAACATGATGCGCACATAAAGAGATATCTGAATTATTACTTAAGAAATGTGTTTATGTGTGCAGCACATGGAAGAATGGTAAGAGATTATCAATTAACACCCACGGAGGAATTTGCTAATGAGATAAAGGAGCTGCCTGAGTTAGGCTTGGATTCACTCGGAGAACTAACCAGGAAGCAAGGGCAGAGAGGACACCACCTGTCCTAGTGAACAGGGCACCCGCTCTAGAGATCGAGGCTCAGCCCCTGTTTCGTTCCTTACACTCTAATTGGCTATTTTTTTCTGGACTCCGCCTCCTCCTCAGTCTGGACCATTAAGCAGCAAAGCCCAACCCACGAACTGGCTTGGGTCTCCAATCAGGTGCCAGGATCACGAGTCCATCCAGAGAAGCCCCCTCTACACCCGCAAGCCGCTTCGCTCTTGTCCGTGATTGGCCAGGAATAACATGGGGTCCGCCTCTTCCTCCCTCGGATTGGTCAGCCACCCTATGGCTCTCGCCCCCGCCGGCTCGGCGCCGCCCCGTGTCCCCCTTCACCACCGAGCCTTGGGCGAGCCGCGTCCTTTCGAGGGGGCCCCGCCTCTGTGTGACGGCCCGACCGGGAATTGGCGGCGGCGCTGCAGCCATTTCCGGTTTCGGGGAGGTGGGTGCGGTGCGGAGCGGGACTTGGCGCCGCCGCCCCTGCTTACAGAACCTCCCTTGCGCCTAGTGCTGCCGGCACGATGCGGCCGGGGCCCGGAGGCTGCTGCTGCCGCCGCCCGGTAAGGGCGAACGGGTGCGTGGCGAACGGGGAAGTGCGAAACGGGTACGTGAGGAGCAGCGCCGCCGCCGCCGCCGCCGCCGCCGCAGCCGCTGCCGGCCAGGTACGACGGGAGCGAGCGGCGGGGCCGGGCAGGGCCGGGCCGGACCGGGAAGGGTGGGCTGGGACCCCGCGAGCTGTCGCTCGGGCTGGCAGAGGGGGCGGCAGGGCGGGACGAGGTCGCAGTGACCGTGTGGCAGCTGGGCGCGGCTCAGGTGTGCTGGCCGCGGTGTCCAGGCGCGGGCCTGACCTCCCCGCGTCGAAGGCTCCGCATCTCGGCGAGCCTGCCCCAGGAGGTGTGGGCGCTGCTCAAAGCCCGGGCTTCCTTCCTTCCTTCCGTGTCTGGTCCCGCCAGAAGTGCCATCCGCTCCCCAGTGGAGGCAGTGAGTGACCCCTCGGACCCTGCAGGACCTTCTCAAGGGCTAGTGATGTTTTCTCTCCAAGCCCCTCGGGTCGCTGCTTCCTCCCGGAGCCCTGCAGTCCTCCAGGGAAGACCATCCTTGGGTCCTTAAGAGGCAGAGGAAGTTAGGAGGTGACGTCGGGTGGAAACACCCAGGCTGTCTTCCACACTCCTGACCCCTCCCCAAGCAGCGCGTTGGACCTCCGATCTGGCATTGAACCTGGCCCGCCGCCCCGACAGCGTTGTCCCCTTCCGGCTCTGCCCGTGGGGAGTCCCCGGCCCCACTCTCCAGCTTGGTCTAGGCGGTGGTCCACTCCTGTGGACAGGCGTGCCTGTCACACAGGGCTTTGTTTAACCCGGTGGTACCTTCTGATGAGGTCTACGCTCGTTAATCAAGGTGGAATCATCAGCCAAGTCCAGGCGGTCCTGAAATATTTCTGAAAAGTCCTGGATTCAAGGCAATACTTTCCCAGTTCTCTGAACTGTGTGTGCTGCAGAAATGTGATGTTAATGATGAGTTGGTTAAAAAGATGCAAGATGAATGTTGCTAGCCAGCGTGTTGTGATCATTTTAGTCGACTTTAATACTTAGAAGTCTTGTTCAGATGTGAAGGAAGTTATTTTTAAGTTATCAGGTTGCCTTTGAGCAGGAGTGTGACTGGTGCAGTTTTGATAGGATGGTGGTCTTAATTAGGCTTTAACATAAATATCTGGTAGTCTTCTCATCTCATCAGTAGTTGTGATAGATGGGCCTCTTACTGTTTGGTAAACAAAAAGTAAAGCCTTTCCTCAGGTCAGGTTGAGATACTAAGACTACGAGTGTTGGGAGAGTGGGAATACATAAACAGGATTTACCTCCACTGAACTTGTAAGGTGTCAAAGGCAAAGAAATGCACCTACTCAGAAGGTTAGTTTTCACTGTTTAAGAAATGATTGTGTGAGAGGATGTGACAAGAATCAGCTCCTTGTAAGTGGTGGAAGAATTTGTTGTTTTCCTAGCACTGTCAGTCACTAATAAGACAAAATTATGATGGTATAGAATGTAACAGGGAAATTTGACAGTGGGAGTTAGAAAATACCAGATGAATATGGTTTTTAAGAGGAAAAAGTCAAGAGAACGCTGGTCACATGTTAGAGGTGTTTTGCATTTGAGTGTGCTTTTTAGTCGCTAGGAGTTATATTCTGATTAAATAGTAAATCAAGTTCCTCCCTCCTGCAGTCTTAACAATTTAGGATTTGTAGGCATGGTATTTCTTCATTGTTTGCCAACTTATAAAATGAAAGAAATATCAAGTTACTAAAGTTAAATTTAAAAATCTGTGATTGTAATCTGGTACACGACTGTAATCTCAGCACCCAGGAGACTGAAGCAGGAAGATCAAAAGTTCAAGGCTAGCTTGGGCTACTTAGCAAGACCCTATTTCACCACCATACCCACCAAAAAAAAAAAAAAAAAAAAAAATCTGGCTGATTTTTTAAAAAAGTATATTTTTGTGAACAATTTCACTTAAGGCATATTGGTGGTGTTTGGAAAAAATGGTGTAATGGAATGGGCTAAAGACGCCAGTATCCCTTCTAGAAAACCATTTTCACAATTTATTTTAAAATAAAGACCAGATCTGTATATCTGTATGTTCTTACAGAGGAATAAGATCTTGGTAACTTAGTGAGACCAATAGAGAGTATCTTTAAAATACTTTAAAAGTTGCTTTTGGTAAGTTGAATTTAAAGAGATGTGATAGTGCTCCAACTTTTACCTGTCTTTTCCTTCATATTGGGGAAAATGTTGCCAATTACGTCCCACCCCTAAAAATACTTAAGATGTTAGGCATGCAGGTATGTGTCCTGCTTTTGCAAAAATACTGTGTTTAACATGTTGAGATGTGAATTAGCTTCCTCACATATCCCAACTTTTGTCTTTTAATGAATAGAAGTTAGGAACTTCTAAGACTTTTTTCTTTTCTTTCTTTTTTTTAATCTCAAGAAGGAACAGCCCCTCTGTATTTCCACACACCCTGGAGTATGTTTCTGAGTATAAAGGGATGAATGCATATGTTAAAAGAACAACTCTTTGATTGGGATTGAGTTTGATTACATAGATGCAGTGGTAGGAAGGAGTTATGAAGCAATCAGAGATTACCTTAGTGTTTCCTGATGGCAGTAGATACGGTTTTCACAAGAGTAGCAGTTGAACAGTAAAGCATTCAAATGAGTGGGAGGAGGGTCAGCCTTTATTTGACATAAAGGATGACAATTACCTTAGGGAAATTTTGACAGAATTGGAAAGAACCTTTAGGGGTTTATGTAATTCAGATCCTTAATCTCTTTGTAGGACTTCATTAAAAACAATCTTGGCAAATGGTTCCAGAGGATTTGTAGCAAATTTTCTCCACAGCAAGTTGCATTATTCAGTGATCTTAATTACTAAGAGTTTCCATGTCTTTAACATTTGATTAAATAAATGCCATATTTGGGTTGTACCTGAAAAAAATTGTTTATTTGTTGGCTTGTATAACTCCTTGTTAACAGCACTTTTTAGAACTTTGGGCACACATTTTACTTTTCTTCATCAATTAACAGGTATGAATGGGGAGAAATTATCTGCCTTTGAGACAATTTTGAATTTAACTTTCCTCTCCTTGGGAGTAATTTTAATGAGCTATTAGAAGGATGATAATCTTCTAGTTGGCAGAATAAATAGGATTGATTCTATTTTTAAGGAGGCACTGGAGCCCAAGTGATGTTAAATAGTAAGTACAAAGAAAATAGTCTTGGTCCTGCTGCTTGTACTTAGAAGGAGCAAATAAATAACTAATGAGGGGTGGTTTGCTAACTAGCTATAGCTTTTGTTTCCTCTGAAGGGAAACAGTAACTGAGGATTTAAAGTGATAGTAGTGGGGAGCAGGAAGAAGTTGGTTATGAAGCAGGAGTAGGAAGATTAGCTAAGAACAGCCATTGTACCTGTTCAGGTTTGACAAGGCCTGATGAGCTACCTTGAAGGCCTCAAATTATTATCAGAAATAATGTTACTACTTACAACTTGTGGGATATGATTTCTGTTTGAAATGCATTTTGCTCTAAGGGGGAAAAACATTTGATCTTTATTAGCTGAATCTGAAAGATTCCAGTCATTTGTGGTACTCAGGAATTTTCTTTAATAAGAATTCTTGGGAAATACATAAACAACTCTGTTTTTAAGATGGTATTTTGAAACTTGGATATCTAGGGAGGGCAGACTTGCCTACTTTAAAGGGTGGGCCCACATACACTGGAAGCTTGTAGTGCTCTAAGACAGCTAATTGGTTGTTTCAATTAGATTTAGTTTTCGAAAGAAAGAACCAGTGTTATTGGTAGAATATGCAATTGAGAGGGATGGGTAGAGGCAGTGTTTGCTTGCTGAGTGGGTGTGTCTTACTTGATAAATAGTTCTAAGCCTCAAAAGTCAGTTGCCTTCTGAATAGTTTCTAAGGCATCTATAATGTAATTTGTAGTTTGTAATGATTAAGAAGGTCCTTTATGGACTGCAGATGTGGCTCAAAGCAGAGAGCACCTGCTATGCAAGTGTGAAGCCCTGAGTTCAAACCCAGACTCACCAAAAAAAAAAAAAAAAAAAAAAAATTGGCCCATTGCTCTTGACCTAGTTAATCTCTGAAATTTTATGTTACAATTGCTATCTTTAAGACCACTTCAAAGATCCATTATGAAGCTTGAGGAAGCCATTTTTCCTTTTCTTTTAAATAATTTTACCCCTGTTTATAGGAATAATGCATGTTTACTTCAGGATTTTAAAATATTGGGATGGATAATCCTTCTGTTGAGGAGTCATTTTTTAAATTTTAAACTGATAAATTAAAAACAAAAGTACACATTAATGGGGACCATGCAGTGTTTCAATATATATATATATATATATACATTGTTAGCGGTTTTTTATTTTATTTTTTATTATATTTATTTATTTTTTATTCATATGTGCATACAATGTTTGGGTCATTTCTCCCTTGTTAGTGGTTTTGTTTTGACAGTTTCTGGGGTTTGATCTCAGGGCCTTGCATAAGTCAGGTCAAAGATACCTGTCTCCTCAAATATTTATCATTTATGGTGAAAATTTTAAAAACCTTTTATTCTGGCTTTTTGAAATGTTTAATACATTACTGTATTGAAATGTTTAATACATTACTGTTGTACAGTAGCATAGTCAAACTTCTTGCTCCTGTCTAACTGTAATTTAGTACCTATTGATCAACTTTTCCTCATACCTCTCACTCCTACTCTTCCTGGCCTCTGGTAACCACTATTCTATTCTCAACCAATATGAGGTCAACTTTTTTTTTTTTGTCTTTTCTTTTTTGGTGCTGGGATCGAACCCAGGGTCTTGCGCATGCTAGGCAAGCACTGTACCACCGAACTACATCTCAGCCCTGAGGTCAACTTTTTTAGATTCATATGTGAGTGAGGTCATGCAGTACTTATCTTTCTGTGCCTGACTTATTTCACTTAACATAATGATTTCCAGTTCCATCCATGTTGTTGCAAATGATAGGGTTTCATTCTTTTTTTATGGCCAAATAGTATTCCATTGTGTGTTTATACCACAGGGGTTCATTTTTTACATATGGTCTGTTGTGAATCATTGTGCTGCTTTTTGATAAGTTCTAAGTACAG